GCATGCATGATTTCCTGAGCTCCTCATTGTTCCATCGAGAATTTTTACTTTCTAATACTTTCTATCTTATTTTAGGATTTGGCATTTGATCCTTGCTGCATTGCTCGGAGAAAACATATACAACTTTGGGGAACTGCTTGCACATCCAATTGTAAGTTTATTTTCACTGTATTCATACTTTTGCGTTTCTCTCTTCCTGTTATTTTGCTTTTATTAGTTGTCATGACATGTGATGGCTTAAGCTACTCAAATATTGAGTGCATTGTTTCTGTTTAAATATATTTCTTCACCAACATGTGAAGTCTGCTGAGTGACTTGATTCTCAATTTTTCATTTAACGATGCGCTGAATGTGGTTGAACTTCTATTGTGACTGTGATTGGCTGGGGATGAGACTTAGGTAACATCTGGTCAGGTTGAAAAACTTCACATGCCCTAGATTTGGCAACTTTTATATAGAATTATAATATGGAGGATTCAAGACAACTTCCAACTGTAGATGAATTTCCATAGTATGTTGTTATTACAGTGAAGATTGGATGCTTCAATGGTTATAGCTAGTGCTGCTGTGTCCCTTTGTTATGCCATGGTATCTAGGATCCTTTTTGAGTCAAGACTAATCTCCACAAACGCATGCAATCACCTAGAATCCACATGCATTTGGCAAAACTAAATAGACTCGAATCTGGACCTAAGGAGAAGCAGGCAATGCCTTGGAGAATCTAACCAAGAATAGGTTTCCTTTTTAATTGTAATTATGTAATGATGGAGAGGGTTGAGCCGGATATTAAAACCTTGGGCTTTGTCTTTTTATTTGGAATTGATATTGGGGTGCCTTTAATGATTTCATATGCTGTCACTCACTAGGGCTATTTTGGCATGACCAATTAAGGTTAAAATTTGTTGTTATAAATGGATATTTCTAATGCATGTTCTATATAATCCACACATTTTATTTTTAACTTTCTCATAAATGTTGTAATATAATCTCTTGCTATTACATAGAAAGAAAGAGAGTTTTAAATGCATATGTCGTAAAATGCCCTTTCTCTGGTATGGCAATCAATTGTGATGAAGACATGTTTTGAGAACATAAATGTAGACTTTTGTTTAATGACGAGTGAGTGTTCTTTGAAGTGAAAATAATAAGGAGATATCTTGGGAAAGAATGGAGAACAACAAAAGATAATGAAAAAGAATGTAGAGAACAAGTGACCTAGCTAATGAGGATATTGGGAGAGTGGCAAACTGGATGATATTGCTTGCACCTTAGGATCCTATAACAGTGTCAGTGTCGCTATTTTTGTCTAAAATATCAACCTTTGATTTAGCCACTCCTGGAAATCTGAATGAGGGAAATTGGAAACCATTTAGTTTCTTGTTTGAGTTGACAAAGCCTTTTTTTGTATAATCACTCATGTGCAACAGGTATTTGAGCTCTGTATTTTTTCTATTGAATTTAGAATTATTCCCTCTAAAGAAGGTGTTGGAATATTCTAGAAATTATGGGGGAAAAAAATGTAAATGTTATGAGTTCTTCAACTCCCTGATTGAACCGGTCCCTGACATTGAATGCAGCCTTTGCATTATTTTGTGTCAACGTTTGGAGATATTTTGGTTGATTGATCACTACACATGGTTAATGGGTGACGTTGGGGTAAATGAACTTCCAGTTACATATGTGGAGGATTGATGTTTAGGTTATACATAAATTCAAGTGGTGTTCAACAGTAACTGAAAGAATACTGCCTTTTAGTCTGTCTTTTCTATGATGTATGAATTTTGTTTTATCTTCTATTTATCATAAATGAATCATTAAATCTGGATTCTTGGATTTTTTCAAACAAAATAACAATTCGATTTGAGTTCACATTGCTATTTGACTCAGTACAGAGACGTGTTAAACATTTCTTATGAGAGAAGTGTGATTCAATATAAAATCAATTGGTTATTGTAGATGAGTTTTTTAATCTTTCCTTGAGAAATTGCATGCATGATTTCCTGAGCTCCTCATTGTTCCATCGAGAATTTTTACTTTCTAATACTTTCTATCTTATTTTAGGATTTGGCATTTGATCCTTGCTGCATTGCTCGGAGAAAACATATACAACTTTGGGGAACTGCTTGCACATCCAATTGTAAGTTTATTTTCACTGTATTCATACTTTTGCATTTCTCTCTCCCTGTTATTTTGCTTTTATTAGTTGTCATGACACGTGATGGCTTAAGCTACTCAAATATTGAGTGCATTGTTTCTGTTTAAATATATTTCTTCACCAACATGTGAAGTCTGCTGAGTGACTTGATTCTCAATTTTTCATTTAACGATGCGCTGAATGTGGTTGAACTTCTATTGTGACTGTGATTGGCTGGGGATGAAACTTAGGTAACATCTCAGGTTGAACAACTTCACATGCCCTAGATTTGGCAACTTTTATATAGAATTATAAAATGGAGGATTCAAGACAACTTCCAACTGTAGATGAATTTCCATAGTATGTTGTTATTACAATGAAGTTTGGATGCTCCAATGGTTATAGCTAGTGCTGCTATGTCCCTTTGTTATGCCATGGTATCTAGGATCCTTTTTGAGTCAAGACTAATCTCCACAAATGCATGCAATCACCCAAAAACCACATGCATTTGGCAAAAATAGACTCGAATCTGGACCTAAGGAGAAGCGGGCAATGCCTTGGAGAATCTAACCAAGAATAGGTTTCCTTTTTAATTGTAATTATGTAATGATGGAGAGGGTTGAGCCGGATATTAAAACCTTGGGCTTTGTCTTTTTATTTGGAATTGATATTGGAGTAGGTTTAGAATGAGTCGGGATTGATGCATCTTTCTTTGGTAGTTTTTAGATTTGTTTTGAGTTATATGGGAGAATATAACTCAAAAGGTATTATTTTGGTTGTTACCATATAATTGGATTCTGAGAACTTAAATTCTTTTTGAGATATGGTCAACTCGAATATGCTAGTATCAGTACTCTAGGAACTTCCTTACATTATGATAATTTTCTTCCAACTATGGTTAATTTTTATCCATGTTTAGAATCAAATTATGAAAGAGATTGTTGCTTAATATAATTGTGCATTCATTATGCAATATATGTAGCCCACAATGTGCATCCATAAAGGTTGTGGCTGAGATACGGTGTTGAGTCTAGTCTAAAGTGTCTGAAAGAAAAATGACAACAAGCATGTGCCTGGAAAGGCCAAGCATTTAAATATGCCAACATGAAATTACCATTTGTTTAACCACTGCACTTGTCGCAAGTGGTACTGAGAGTTTGGGACAGTATAACACCACGACCGTTAGGTTCGGAGATCAGCCCTTCATCGCCTTCCTATGAAAGGCATTAAAAAAAAAAGAAGAAAAAAGGTTCAATTGCGTTAAGAGTTGAATGCATTCATAGATAATATGACCTTTGGGTCAATTGGAATGAATAAGATACATTTTTTGCTGATGCAGCATCAATGGAATGAGGCATGACTGATAATATGGTGATACCTAGAAAAGAGCAATTATGGCTAAATATTATATTTTTTGGAAACTTTTCAAAAAATTAGGTTATGCAACGGGTAGGAATGGTTGGGCTCGAGTGGCTAGAAAGTACTATTTTTCTCTCTCCTCTCTATCTATTTCCTCTCCTCTCTGTTTATATTCTCGAAACAAAAAAGAGCATTGAAACACTCTCATCACTGTCACCTCTCTCGACTCATTCCACAGATCTCTCTCATCTTTGTTAAACCTTCTGATCGCTTGCTGATCACGGAAGGAGGACGAAGACGAAATACAGTACATAACAACTCCTCACCTACCGGCGCCGGAAAGTGCTCATTACCTACGAGAAGAAAAGGAATCTGAGGTAATCCTAAAATTGCAAAACTAGGGTTTACGTTTTGTCTTTAATTTTTATAGAAATTAGTCGATTGTGACTATTTGGGTTTGGATTTTGCTTTCAATTGGTGTTAGGGTTTGGGATTTGCCTTTAATTTGTGATGTGTTTGCTGGTGAATAGTTACCTTGTGTATACATCTGTTATCATCTGTATACATTTGTTTGGTTTTGCCTTTAATTTGGTTTTGCTTGAATAGTTATCCAACTAGTACATCTGTTTGGTGGTAAAATACACGGGTTTGAGTTTAAATATGTCCAAAACAAGTTTTGCATGCGACCATCTTCATCAAGGTTAATTGTCAAATAGAAGTTCGAATTTTGTTGTTGCATTTTGTGAAAATAAAGTGCAACTGATTCGGCATCTTCCACCCTAAGTCTCAATCTTCTAGCATTCTCAATATGATTCCTCACATTTTGTTCATTAAATGTTAATGCCCCATATCCCCACTTCAACAACTATAGAATGAAAATTATTAGCTACCCCAATTCCTGCTACATCGTTACCTTCTAATCTCCTCTTCACCAGAGTAAGAATCCTCTTATTCATTGTAAAATGCCGTGAGTCACTAGGAATCAAATCATGAGTGTGTTCAAGCACAACTATGGTTAACTTATATCTTCCATTCTTTTGTAGACAGACTCTTACCCTTGCTTTACAATCAACTTTTGATGACAAAGATGGTTCTAGGAGATTTACTTCTGATCTTTTTGTTTTGTTTTGATCCCAAGTACATTTAATTCCAAAGTACTTTACTTCCCCATCACTTGTTAAATTTTGTGTTCTATAAGCTATAGCAAATCCAAGGTGTTTCGCATATTTTGCATGAAATGCATACACTTCTTGCTTTGAGGTAAAATACATCCCCTTCTTCGATTCTTCAACTTCACCACTCTCATTAAATGAAAGATTGTTATCCTGTTCTTCAACTTCCTCACTCCCATTGAATGAATTATTGTTTGAATCAATATCCATTGTAGCTTCAAAGTGAAATAGAATAGACATTCGGAGAGTTAGTGGACAAAACACTGAAGGCCTCCACCATTCTTATCACACAACAACCAACATTATAAGGAAACAAACAAGAACAATACAAATTGTTCAAAACAACAAGAACAACACAAAGAAACTCAATTTAAGTTTCACAATTTTTCTATAATTCTTCATTTCTTTACAAGTTTATTTTTACACTTCTATTTGAGACTGAAAATTAGCACTATAGCAACAGAAAATTATCATAATCAGCATTTTGCAACAAGAAGTTCAGCATAATTAGCACTATAACAAGAGATGACATAGGGAACTAAACCAGTTGAAGTGTTGAAACATAGATGAAGAACCAAAATTAGGGCTAATTAGCCAAAAATAAATATTAAAAAAAAAAAAGAAAAAAAGAACAAGGAGATGCATGAAGAGAGATGCCAAAGAAGATAGAGAAAGAGTTAATTTTTTTCTGAGCTACCACACAGAAAGAGTCAATCAAATCAAAACACTAATTCTTAATCACCCAATGTGAAACCTAAATTAAAAACAAAACCAACTAATTTCAGATCATACAAAGCTTGTTAACTAAAAATCAATCCATTACTTGCAATCACACCCATCAGCAGCAGCGGCAGCACCCTTGCGGCACACACAGCAGCAAAAGCAGCCTGGTCAGCGGCACACAGCTAGGTTATCGAGTCGGTCTCCTCTCTCTCCACTCTGTTCTGTTTTTTTTTTTATTTTTTTATTTTTTTTTTTATGTTTGGAATGAAATGTGTGGGTGAACAGAGATGGGCTGTACAAAGAAATGGGGTTGTACAAAGAAATTGGGCCATTCAAGCCACATGGATTCGAGCTACCTAGCGGGATTGTTTTTCTTGAAGATAGAGAAAGAGTTAATTTTTTTCTGAGCTACCAAACAGAAAGAGTTAATCAAATCAAAACACTAATTCTTAATCACCCAATGTGAAACCTAAATTAAAAACAAAACCAACTAATTTCAGATCATACAAAGCTTGTCAACTAAAAATCAATCCATTACTTGCAATCACACCCATCAACAGCAGCGGCAGCACCCTTGCGGCACACACAGCAGCAGAAGCAGCCTGGTCAGCGGCACACAGCTAGGTTATCGAGTCGGTCTCCTCTCTCTCCACTCTGTTCTGTTTTTTTTTTTATTTTTTTATTTTTTTTTTTATGTTTGGAATGAAATGTGTGGGTGAACAGAGATGGGCTGTACAAAGAAATGGGGTTGTACAAAGAAATTGGGCCATTCAAGCCACATGGATTCGAGCTACCTAGCGGGATTGTTTTTCTTCTCTCTTTACTCTATAACTCTGCAACCCCCTCGCTCCAAGTGATATTGCTTCAAATAAGTTTTTTTGGTTTTGTTATTGCAGCCTGTTTTCTTGTTCTCTTCTGTTGATTTTTTATTCAACCGCATTAATGTAGGTTGATTTATTGTTTTAAATAAAGGCATTTGCGATTATCATGTAAAAATAAAGCAACTTAGAGTTTTTGTTACTTTTTAGTTGAAAATGATTTTTTTTTTTTTTTTTGTTTTTTTTAGAAAGTGGAAGTCATGAGCCCCTACAAAACAGGAACATCACTCAACAAAACCTGCACTAAATGCTCAGGAACCCCAGCCATCCAAACTCGTTTCTCCGGATCCTCCTTAGCCATTTGAGCCAAATGGTGAGCCATTACATTGCCACTCCGGCGCGTGTGCGAAACACAGAAGCTCGCAAATTGCTTTTTAACTACATTTTAAAATGTACTACTATTGTATATTGTTCTACTGTTAGAGTTCAATTTTACTTTGTTTATTTTGAAGATGAGATGAAGTTCTAAGCAAAACCCTTTTTCTATGAAGCAAAATATAAGTAGATACTATGAATTGAAGGAAGATTAGTATAGAATGTTTACAAGAAACTAAGTCGGTAGGTAATAATAATAAAGCAAGGGGTACAGAAATACTATGTATAAAATTTACTATATTGGTAAAGATAGACGTAGAAATGGTGTATGAATAACTGTAGTTAAACATCTTAAATATAAGGTAGTAATAGTCACAATAGAATAATGCTAATTAACCTTGTATTTGGGGAAAGCATAATTGATGTGATTAGATGAAGTTCTAAACGAAACCTTTTTTTTATGCCGCAAAATATAAGCAAATATTAAGTTATGTACTGTATTTGTGAACAAGAAGAAACCCGTAATTTTGTTGTTTTCATAGAACATACTACTAGAAAGCACGGATACGGCGATACAGCAAAATCTAAAAAAGTAAGATACGGGTATAGCTAGGATACGTTTGTAAAAAATAAAAAAATTATTAGCAGAGTTACACATAAGCTCAAGAATGTTGAGAAATCACAGTAACTTTATAATGCAAAATACTAATCTTTGAGAATTAGGTATTACTTTAAGGCAGTAGCTAGTTTAGTTTTTTAATTTTCAATAGGTCTTGCAAATATTTCATTTCAATATCTAATATGTTGATATTATAATATCAAAACAATCCACAACTTGACCCTATACTTTTTCCTTTTGCACTAGTCAAAAATATTCTATACAAGTTTATTTGCTTATTTATTTATTGATATTTAATTTTACTACTGTTAAATTATCTTATTAATCCTTACTTCTATATAGTTATAGGGGACATGAATGATACAATGAAGACATGTCAACTTAATGAATTCTATTACTTTAGCTTACTATGCTATTTTTATAAAAAAAACTAAACAAAATATTATAAAAATATTCTATTTATCCTCGCAATTATATTATTTTATGAAGTTATGCAAGAAATGATACAATTCTAATTTCGTAAAAGGAGTAATATGTGACTTGGAGCATTTGATACTTCAAAATTAATTAATAAGTATCCGTAAGTTTTGATTTTCATAGAACATACATATATGAAGTTTTGTTTTCAAATGCATTTTTCTTCTCTTTTCAAAAATGAAGAAACTTGAAAAAACCAAGAAGAACAAAATGGCAAAGAAAAAGGATCTGATAATGAATAAAGACCAACAACATTTTGAATCATCTTCATCGCATTCATCTCAGGAGCAGCAACATGTTGAATCTTGCTCTCAGCATGACCATGGTGAATCCTCCACCTCACATACTAGGAGATCCTTCATAGATGTTTTATGCAATAAACACTCCATTCCACCGCCACTACCCCAACAAGTCCAAGTTAAATCTGCTACATTGAAATATGTGGTTCTGGATCAGGGGCAATATTTTTCTAGCGGATGTACTTCGTTTGCGGAGGATTTGGTGAATGAACAAGGCAAGATGTTTGAAATAAGTATTGGCCATTTTAAAAATGCTATGGATGCCAATGCTCAATTTTATGAATTAAAGACTTTAAAAAATGAACGTATCATAGACGTTCATTTTCTACAAGGATCTGATATTATTATGGAAAATATTGGAGATAATTTGGAGACATGGAGTCAAAGGGGTGGCTGGTGGCACTTCATTAAAGATCATTTTATTTAATTATTTAGGTAAATATTAATTTAGCTATTTTGTTTATGTTTAAATTGATTAATTATTATTGTTTATTACTTAATGTTTTTCTCTGTCACAGGGATGTTATCTTTGGACTCCAGTATTTGTACGCTAAGAACCCTTTTGTGTCCTACTATTGTGGGAGGTTAGAAAGCAGCGTTTCTATCGTCAAGAATCACAGAAGGGTTCCAGCATACAAATACTGGAGTCCAAAGATAACATCCCTGTGACAAAGAGAAAAACATTAAGTAATAAACAATAATAATTAATCAATTTAAACATAAACAAAATAGCCAAATTAATATTTACCTAAACAATTCAATAAAATGATCTTCAATGAAATGCCACCAGCTACCCCTTTGACTCCATGTGCAATAATAATTGTTGGCCCATGTCTCCAAATTATCTCCAATCTTTTCCATAATAATATCAGATCCTTGCAGAAAATGAACGTCTATGATGCGTTCATTATTTAAAGTCTTTAATTCATAAAATTGAGGCTTGGCATCCATAGCATTTTTAAAATGGCCAATACTTATTTCAAACATCTTGCCTTGTTCATTCACCAAATCCTCCGCAAACGAAGTACATACACCCACTGGAAAAATATTGCCCCTGATCTAGAACCACATATTTCAGTGTAGCAGATTTAACTTGGACTTGCTGGGATAGTGGTTGTGGAATAGAGTGTTTATTGCATAAAACATCTATGAAGGATCTCCTAATATGTGAGGTGGAGGATTCACCATGGTCATGCTGAGAGCAAGATTCAACATGTTGCTGCTCCTGAGATGAATGCGATCAAGATGATTCAAAATGTTGCTGGTCTTTATTCATCATCAGATCCTTCTTCTTTGCCATTTTCTTCTTATTGGTTTTTTCAAGTTTCTTCATTTCTGAAAAGAGAAGAAAAATGCATTTGAAAACAAAACTTCATATATGTATGTTCTATGAAAATCAAAACTTACGGATACGTATCAAATACTTATTAAAAGTATCGGATACTTCTTAATTAATTTTGAAGTACCGGATACTTAGTTTTGAAGTATCGGATACTCCAAGTCACATATTATCGGATACTTCTTAATTAATTTTGAAGTATCAAATGCCCCAAGTCACATATTACTCCTTTTACGAAATTAGAATTGTATCATTTCATCATTTCTTGCATAAACTCATAAAATAATATAATTGCGAGGATAAATAGAATATTTTTACAATACTTTGCTTAATTTTTTTATAAAAATAACATAGTAAGCTAAAGTAATAAAATTCATCAAATTGACATATCTTCATTGTATCATTCATGTCCCCTATAACTATATAGAAGTAAGGCTTAATAAGATAATATAACAATAGTAAAATTAAATATCAATAAATAAATAAGCAAATAAACTTGCATAGAATATTTTTGATTAGTGCAAAAGGAAAAAGTATAAGGTCAAGTTGTGGATTGTTTTGATATTATAATATCAACATATTAGACTTAATACTGAAATGAAATATTTGCAAGACCTATTGAAAATTTAAAAACTAAACTAGCTACTGCCTTAAATTAATACCTAATTCTTAAATATTAGTATTTTGCATTATAAAGTTATCGTGTTTTCTTAACATTCTTGAGCTTATGTGTAACTCTGCTAATAATTTATTTATTTTTTATTTTTTACAAACGTATCCTAGCCATACCCGTATCCGTACCTCGTATCCGTATCCATGCTTTCTAGTAGTATGTTCTATGAAAACAACAAAATTACGGGTTTCTTCTTGTTCACAAATACAGTACATAACTTAGTTTTTGCTTTTATTTTGCGGCATAAAATAAAGGTTTCGTTTAGAACTTCATCTAATCACATCAATTATGCTTTCCCCAAATACAAGCTTAATTAGCATTATTCTATTGTGTCTGTTACTACCTTATATTTAAGATGTTTAACTACAGTTATTCATACAACATTTCTACGTCTATCTTTACCAATATAGTAAATTTTATACATAGTATTTCTGTACCCCTTGCTTTATTATTATTACCTACCGACTTAGTTTCTTGTAAACATTCTATACTAATCTTCCTTCAATTCATAGTATCTACTTATATTTTGCTTCATAGAAAAAGGGTTTTGCTTAGAACTTCATCTCATCTTCAAAATAAACAAAGTAAAATTGAACTCTAACAGTAGAACAATATACAATAGTAGTACATTTTAAAATGTAGTTAAATGAAACCAAACTAGGAAAGATTCGGGATTACAAAGGTTACAGTTTGGAATATGGTTATGTCCACTTGGTTAAATTACTTATATTTTGCTTCATAGTGAAAGGGTTTTGCTTAGAACTTCATCTCATCTTCAAAATAAACAAAGTAAAATTGAACTCTAATGGTAGAACATTATACAATAATAGTACATTTTAAAATTCAAATCTTGTAAGAAATTCTTTATATTTTATTTTTTTACATATAAACATATAAAAAAAATAATAAACAAATATCTCACGATCCGATTAGGTTCGAAATCGTAATCAAAGCGTTGGAACCCGTACCCAGACCAATTTGAACAGTTCCACCATTTTCAGAACTAGAACCAAAACTGAAACTGATAAAAATCAGACCAAACTAGCGGTTTAGATGGGATTGGACCGGTTTACTGATTCCATCGATTTTTTTTTTACACACCTAAAAGAAGCGATTTATGGACCGACTTGCCTTTAGTCTACATTATTTTTAGAAATAATAGTTAAGTGGGTGTTTGGGAAGTAGGTTTTTATATAGGGTTTTTTAGTTGTAGGATATTATTAGAGAAATTTTTTTTGGTGTTTGGAAAGATAGTTGGGTTTTTTTATGGTTGGATGTGATGTTTGTGAGAGAAAAAGTGAAATGATTACGGGGTTGGATGTGATATTTTGTTTGGATTGATTTTTTTTGGTTTTGCAAAAACTGTCTTTTAGTGGAAAAGATCAAAAAAAAAAACCCAAACCCACATCTTGCCAAACACCACCTAAATGTTTTTTGAAAAACATGTGA